TCAGGCTATTCAGAGGATTGGCAGATGGGAATCTGGGAGGTTTCGGTCCTACGTACGGCCCACGCGGCTAATCGGTTCCCCTCTTGTGTTTTCTCCACAGGGCCCGGCCGTAGGATCTGGCTGATTGGGCATTCATACATCTATTGGGCCCATCTGCGGGCTGGGGTACGCCCGGGTGGGACACGCCTTGGAATTCCTCGGGAGCTGGCGGAGGTCCGATGGTTTGGTTTCCGGGGCATGAGATGGGGCCAGCTCTTGCCGGAGGTTGTACAGCTGGCCACTTTCCTAGGGGCGCCTGATGTATTGGTGATCCACTTGGGTGGCAATGATCTGGGGGTGCTGCCTGCTTGGGGTTTGGGTGAAATGATTAGAAGGGATTTAGCGCGCTTGCGAGTTTTGTTCCCGCAGCTTTGTTTAGTTTGGTCTGGGATAGTGTCCAGGAACTATTGGGGGCGCGCGCGCGATCAGGGGGCTATTGAGCGATGCAGGGTGAAAATTAACAAAAGAGTGTCAAAATTTGTGCTCGGCGTTGGTGGCATTTCGGTGCGCCACCGAATATTTGAACGTGACGCGGCGATATATTTTCGCCCAGACGGGGTCCACCTGACCGATGTGGGGTTGGATTTCTTCAACCTAGCTCTGCGGGATGCGCTGGAACAGGCCATGGCATTGGTGGGGGGTAGCGCCTGCTGATTTAGGCTTAAATGCAGCTGGCGCTAGTGGCGGGTATGGTCCTTGCCGAACCAGTGGAAAAAGGAGTGCATTGGACGAAGGAATGCTGGGTCTGGTCCCTCCCCTAACCTCGGGCAATGGTTTGGTATTTGGGCGTGCCCTCCGTGCCAGGAAAAGCGGCCAGGGGTTGGCATGGGGAATTGGAGGGCCAAGGTGAAGGCCAATTAGCTTGGACGAGGGGGGAGGGCAGGTGCCCTGGAAAGAGGTACTCAAAAGGTTATTATGGTTCGGTTGGCAAGGACGGGTTTTGAGTTAAATATATACGCTCATATTAAACATAATTTGAATTGGTTTTACTTATTATATATATAAATAAAGCTGTGGCCTGTTTTATACCACATTTATGTCTCTGTTTTAATTGGGAATGGGGAAAGGCGGGGGCGGGGTGGGTGGAGCGGTTTGGTGATCATAAGGGGCACCACACGTTAACCACTACCTGCACACAAGACCCAGAGGAGGCGGGCTGAAAGCTAGCCGGATAGGAGGCATGTGTGGGTGTGGTGGGTGTAGGTGTCATAAGTGGGTGTGTCAATTAGAGTAAGGGATGGGTGTGGTCCTTTATATACCAGTCATTTTGTCTCCCTTACCTCAGCCATCTTAGATTTAACGGCGTGGTAACATCTCCCTCCCTCCCTCCCTTTGTTGATACTTTGGTATCCTTTTCCGTCTTACTAATTTATTTCTTTTGTCACAGCTGGCGGGTATGGTCCTTGCCGAACCAGTGGAAAAGGAGTGCATTGGACGAAGGAATGCTGGGTCTGGTCCCTCCCCTAACCTCGGGCAATGGTTTGGTATTTGGGCGTGCCCTCCGTGCCAGGAAAAGCGGCCAGGGGTTGGCATGGGGAATTGGAGGGCCAAGGTGAAGGCCAATTAGCTTGGACGAGGGGGGAGGGCAGGTGCCCTGGAAAGAGGTACTCAAAAGGTTATTATGGTCCGGTTGGCAAGGACGGGTTTTGAGCTAAAAATATACACTCATATTAAACATAATTGAATTGGTTTTACTTATTATATATATAAATAAAGCTGTGGCCTGTTTATACCACATTTATGTCTCTGTTTTAATTGGGGATGGGGTAAGGTGGGGGCGGGGTGGGTGGAGCAGTTTTGGTAATCATAAGGGGCACCACACGTTAACCACTACCTGCACACAAGGGATTCTCCAGAAAACAAACCTGTTTTCCTGGCACTACAGAATCCTGGAGTCCCCCATCCTACGTCACTGAAGTGGTTAAAACCCTTCAGCCACTTACCTGATTCCAGCGCCAATGTCCCTCGGTGCTGGGTCAGGCTCCGCCCACACCAAAGTCCGCCGGCGGGGGGAGACCTAATGCACATGCACGCCAATGGCCGCGGCGCACATTACACCTCCCCATAGGAAAGCATTATTCAATGCTTTCCAATGGGGACTCCGGCGAAGTCATCTAAGAAGCAGTTAGTCCCTCTAGGGGCGCTCTGGTAGACAGCCACTAGAGGAGGACTTAACCCTGAGAGATAAATATTGTAGTTAATACATTAATACTTATACTATAATTACACGTGCAGGGTTAAGGGTGATGGGAGCTGGCAGAAGCTCCTGTTATACAGTCTGGGACAGAGAAAAAGTGTATGTAGTGAGTGTAGAAGAAAGGGAACATGTCACAGTGTTAGAGAGACTGAAGAAAAAAAACAAAACTGGTTTTCCTGGCACTATAGTGTTAATAGGTCCCCCCCCTCCCGCCAGGCTCTAGAATGAGGAAGGGGATAAATTCTCCCTCTTCTGCTGAATGCACATGCGCGGCAAGAGCACATGCACGGCAATCCGCGCGCGCATTCAGTCAGTCCATAGGAAAGCATTCTTAATACTTTCCTATGGACGCTGGCGTCTTCTCACTGTTAAAATAATGAGACAGCCACTAGAGGCTGGATTAACCCTAGTGTAAACATAACTGCTATGTTTACAGCTGCAGGGTTAACCCTAGATGGACATGGCACACAGACCACCTCATTGAGCTGAAATGGTCTGGGTGCCTATAGTGGTCCTTTAAGCATTGCTCTATTTACAAATGTGTGAATTAGCAATGGTAATTAGCAAATATTGATTCTAATCTAACATTCTGCATTTCATAGATCTCTGCACAACATCCTATGTATCTGAAACCAGCCTCAGAGCATTGGTATAATATATAGTGAAAGCCCATGAACAAAGCTGTAACTTTGAAACATGTTTTAGTATTTGTGTAGAACTTTGAATATAAGTTCTAATAAAAAAAAAATATATATATATATATATATATATATATATATATATATATATATATATATATATATATATATATATAAAAAAAAAGGGGGGGTGCGAAAAGGGTGGCACTGAATTTTACCATCTAGGTTTTTCAATTCAAGGTCTCAGGATGTATTCACTAATTAGCAAATTGTAGGTAGGTAAAAACAAAACTGAAAAACGTAGGATCAAATAACTGTATTCGAAAAACTTTTCCAAATTCACCATGGTCATAGCTTGGCGCTTTTAGCCTAAATTTAATTTGTAATTTAGCGAAATAAATACGTAATTTTCTTTTAAATAAACTGTTTCATTTATAAATGCCAATTATTCATTGTATACATTTTAAATGGACTGATACAAATATACACGCATAAGGATATCAGTAAAAAGGGAATCGGAATGATAAGAACAGCAAAGTATCAATTACCTTTCAAAATCTCCTGCACATAAAGAACTTTAAAAAGCGTTATTGGTAATATTTAATTAAATTGAAGAAAATGTCTATAATTTGAAGGACAAGAACTCTTAAAGGAACGGATATTAGGATCTCAATGTAGTTCCACACTCAGTGACATGCAGATTCAAAGGTCAGCCCTCATAGACCTGTAATTAAGGTAAGACATCACATCATATATTCACTGGTCCATAAAAATGAACAGCAAAGAATAAAGTCACTGTGTTCGCTGCCCTGGTTCAACATATTCCACAGATCTGCCCCACTGCTCACCCAAAGAGAAGCTTCATTACAAAAAATCCTACATATAACAGGCATCCTATTATTTGCTATTTGAATACATTTCTATTACATATGTTTGCAGCGTCCTGTAAACAAAGAGGTGGTGTCGGTATCTGAAGTTATCAGGGTCCCCCGGGGCCTTTTCAATACTTCTGTCAATGATCAGGCAACAAAAGAATTGCTTGTATTAAATGCTGTCTTGAAGCTGAACCTTGCCATGCTTTTCTTAGCTCTTATCAAATAGTATACCCCTGAGCAGAATTCCGTTTAACTGAAGGAGTATTGACTGCTTTATTAACAGTGTGAGCTACCACTGGTTTAGACTCAATTCACAAGTAACGTACAGTCCAGAAGCTAGGATATATATAAATTCAAGAGCACCCCCCTCTACACACACACACCGAAAAAACAATATGAGACTCTTCTCACCTATTAAAGCACAATGGACTTTAAACATATATATATATATATATATATATAGATAGATAGATAGATAGATAGATATATCACGTTCCATATGCGCTATTCATTTTGGTATGGGAAAATAATGCGTGCCTCCCAACAGTTTCAGGTGTAGCAAGAAAGTACTGGTTTTGGGATCCTGTTCTGCCAATCTTGGTTTTATTTCTTGCTATGTCATATCTGAGGCCAACACAGTATTCCCAGCAAGCTCACAGTGGGCAAATCATTAAATCATCATGCATAGGCTGCCACTTATGCCAGGCTGCGATTATTATTATTTTATTATTTATATAGCTCCAGCAAATTCCGTAGCGCTGTACAATGCCCTTTTTCTGGGTGGATTCACCGCTTCATTGGCATCACTGCTCCATTCACCTGGGCGCTTTGATCACTCTCAGAGTGGAAAGGTATGTTAATGTTATCGCTTCTCAAAACACATTAGTGCTAGTTATTGATTCATTGTCAAATGTCGTCACCCCCTGGTTTTGGTTAGAATTAGACTTACAATACCCTAAACATACAAAAATAATAAAAAAAATACTGTGTGTGTATACACAGTACCTAAGCTCTCTTCACTCCAATCCTACTCCGCTTGTGTCACTCCCCTTAGCAGCGGAGGGATGTAGTAGAGGAAATGGGTTGTGCGTGCCAACAACAGATGTCCAATATAATTACCAATATGGATACCGCAATCTCCTGGATCCCAGAGAGCAACCGGGCCTGAGTTTGGCCAATCCTCACAATGTGATTTGCAAAAAAGTGATGATGGTCCAGGCACTCAAGTTCAATCCAGTGGGCAGATTTATTTGAGCAGAATCAAAACAACGTTTTGGCCTACAACAGGGCCTTTGTCAAGCTAACCACAAGTGTATTGATAAAGTTACCCTTTATAAAGGATATTAATACACTTGTGGTTAGCTTGACAAATACCCTGTTGTGGGCCGAAACGTTGTTTTGATTCTGCTCCGACAGATGCCCAATATGAAGAGGCAACTCTTGTTCTAGGTTGGCTAATGACGTCCCAATGAAGCTGCTGGATGTGGAGTTACACCTCCGGCACCAGAGGGCTTAAACTCCGTATGTGCAGAGATCCTGAATGAAACAATACATGTAAAGCACCACAACAACTTCAAATCACTGCAATTGCCATGGTGCTTGGAGTAGCTTTTTTACAAAAATACCAGATCCATTCTATAAATATATAAGAAGGTCAGAGAACTGTATCTCATACAGATTTGTTTTACAGTCAGACATTTTCTGCCAAGTACTGAAAACTCACATCCGACAGAACCACAGCCGTGGGATAATGTTTTGGCAGAATAAAAAAAAATAGGAATGCCAATCATAAACATTAAAAGTCCCCTATGAGTTAATCTCACAACTTGCTCCTAAAAAGTTATCCTCCCTTTCCTCACCCAAATAAGAGATTTTTGCAAACATAAATCTTAAAGTGAAACACTTCACTGTCCCCAGTGGGTCATAAACATAGCTAAACAGTCACATAGTAATGTATTGTCCATTGTACAATTTATCCAACTATGACTTCTCAACAATCGGACGTCTCTACATAAAGGCCAAAGAAATGGCACATTTGCTTAAATCCTCAATGATAATGAAATATATTTAGTTTTTGTTCATTTGTTATGCATGTACTCAAATTCTGTTTGAATGTGTGCATAGGTTAATCTATTGACTGTTTACAGCTCACAGAAAATGAGACTTTAAAAAGACCATTAACTGTTGCATTACAAACTATTTAAACTACATTCAGGAAAAGGATTTGCTAAATCCCTTTACTAATTTTGGTCCTGACAGGGTTAAACCAAATTGCTATTTGTACTCAGGGCCGTCTTTAACGCAGGGCAAACGGGGCAGCTGCCCCGGGCCCTGTCCCAGCTGGGGGGCCCAAGACAGCTGCTCCTTTTGCCCTCTGCCTGCAAACTATGGAGGCCCATCGGGTGGCCCATGCACTTAGGGCCACTCGGTGAGCCTGTGTCAGCAGGGGCCCGGTCGGGTGCTGTGGCGCTTTAACAGCGCGACCGGGCCGCACTGGGAGGAAGTGACAGCCGTGCGTCACTTCCTCCCACAGAAACAAGAGCTGCGCGGGAGGAAGGAGCTGTTCCGGAGGGGGCCAGGCCGGGAGAGCTTAACTCCCAGCCACCCCACTGGACCCCAGGGAAGCCACCCTCCAGGAAAAGGTAAGAAACTGGAGGGTGGTTATCAAATTTTGCATGAGTGTCTGTGTGTGAGTATGTATGTATGTCTGTCTGTCAGTGTGCCAGTATGTCTGTCAGTGTGTCAGTATGTGTGAGTCTGTCAGTGTATGTGTGGTTCTGTATGTCTGTGTTTGTCAATATGTCTGTCAGTGTCTGTGTGTATATGTGTTTCAGTATGTCCGTCTGTGTGTATATGTGCCAGTATGTATGTCAGTGTGTCAGTATGTATGTGTGTGTGAGTCGGTCAGTGTCTGTGTGGTTCAGTATGTATGTGTGTATGTGTGTTTCAGTATGGCTGTCTGTGAGTGTCAAAATGTCTGTATGTGTGTACGTCTGTCAGTGTCTGTGTGTATGTGTGTTTCAGTATGTCTGTCTGTGTGCATGTGTGCCATAATGTCTGTCAGTGTGTCAGTATGTCTATGTGTGAGTCTGTCAGTGTCCATGTGGTTCTGTATGTCTGTGTGTAGGTGTGTTTCAGTATGGCTGTCTGTGTGTGTCTCTGTGTCAGTACGTCTGTCAGAATGTGCCTTTGTATCTGTATGTTGTCCGTTTGTGTTTGTGTGTGTATCTATATATAGTCAGTGTGTATCTGTATGTGTCCGTGTTTGTATATGTATATCTGCATGTGTGTCAGGTTGTGTATCTGTGTGTCTGTATGTGTGTCAGTGTGTGTCGGTGTATCTATATGTAGTCAGTGTGTGTACCTTTGTATCTGAATGTTTGTGTCTATCCGTGTGTCAGTGTTCTATATGTAGTCTCCCCCACGCCGCCCATGCTTGTAGGCCGCAGGCGTCTCATCCTGGATTTTTGCACGTTGAGCAGCTCATTTTGTGTCATTGTGTACCCCTCAATCTCCCCTCTCTGTTGGTGACACTTTGGGGTCGTTTCAGTGCTGTTTGTGGTGGTTTTATCGCAGTTTTGTCTGTGTAAAGCAGGAGAAGCTCTTTCCTTCGACCGCTCAGCTTAGCGGTCCAGCCCCGCCCACTAAAGTCATTACTTTATGGGCCCAGTAACGCCCATAGACCATCTCATTCGACATCAAGAAAATGTGTTTTGACAGAAAAACAAAACAAAAAACAAACCCCTTCAGGACGGAGTCAATAGTACACATTCTGATCAAAACAAAACGTAAAAAAACTGGAATTTCGCTATATGTTTGTTCAACCGTAATTCACCGCTGTCACATCAAGTGCACCCAGACTTATTATATATCATTTTGTTCAGGAGAAACAGGGCTTTAATTTATCATTAACTATTCATATATGGAACATAATTTATTATGAATAAAATTTAAAAAAATGTGAGAAAAAATATATATTTTTTTTAAATTTGTATTTCCGTCTGACATTTTAGCTGTGAATTCCATAATACTGTTAGGTTTTACTGCAAAAAAATGCACTTATTTGTAATCAGCGATGTCTCACGAGTACAAGAGTGCCCCCTATTAACAGGTTTTATGGTGTTTTGGAAAGCTACAGGGTCAAATATAGAACGTTCCATTTTCAAATTGAAATTTGCCAGATTAGTAATGTTACCTTTGAGATGGTGTGGTAGCCCAGGAATGAGAATAACCCCCATAATGGCGTACCATTTGAAAAAGTAGACAACCCAAGGTATTGAAAGTGGCGTATGTATAGTCTTTTTTAGTAGCCACTTAGTCACAAACACTGGCTAAATATTAGTTTTTTTCTTTTTTCACACAAAAACAAATATGAACGCTAACTTGTACAGGTTTTATGGTGTCTTGGAGAGTTACAGGGTCAAATATAGTGCTTGCAAATTAAATTCTCTGCACTTTCTCCCTGTGTTGTCAGGCATGTCAATCAAATTTTAATTAATCAAATCACATAATTATGTTAAAAGATTACTTAAATATACATGTAGAATTTTAATATATATGCATTTATAGGTATTTAAATTCTACATGTATACTAATGTAATCTTTTATGTAATTATATGTATTTCACACAAAGAAAACAAAAACTATCCCTTACTGAGATAGTGAGTGATATACTAAAGTGCCTGAATAAAAGCAGCTCAACACAAAAAGTGGAATACCTTAATCCACAATAAAGTGCAAAATACAAGAAAATGCAAAATACAAGAAAAAAAAAAAAGGTATAAACAATATACCAGCAAGTGGAGCGCTATATTGAATATATAAATAGTAGCCACTTAAGTCACAAACGAATAATGGTACTGGCTAAATATTAGTTACCTTTTTATTCTTTGTTTCACACAAAAACATAATGAAATGATAGTTTTCGCTGAAACTTGTACAGGTTTATAAAATAATAATGTCTTGGAGAGTTACGATGGAAAGTCCAAGTATAAAAGTCCAAACTCCAGCTAAACGCGTTTCACTCTTGTATGAGCTTCCTCAGTAGCTGTGAACTTCACAGCTACTGAGGAAGCTCATACAAGAGTGAAACGCGTTTAGCTGGAGTTTGGACTTTTATACTTGGACTTTCCATCATTTAGCTTATGTGCTTTTGAGAAGTCTAAATATTGTTTTTATTATTATTTTTTATCTCTACAATAAATTGTTATTTTTTTATATATTAGTCCATATAGTCCTTTCTAGCCTCCAGGAACACCATGTGGGGAATGCTATCCCAATAAATTAGCACATTGCCAACAAACCTCAGAGCCAGGAATTCAAGGCTCTGTCTAAGGTGAGCATATCTACTACTATCTCACTATATTGTATACACCATCTGTACAATACCACCTATGAGGCTCTCTCTCTCTGTTTGTTCCATATCTTCGGGAGAATATCGTTTGGGATAAAGGGGTGTGTTGCTGCCTCAAGAGCAAGAAGGAGTCACTTACGGAGCCAATAGCTTATAGGCTCCAACCCACGTGAGTGGTTTCAACCAATTGCTACCATTATTCATTTTTTATTTTTTGTAAACCATCTGCACTATATTCTCTCTTTTTGTTGTTTTACTTTGTATGTACATTTGGACACATTGTATCACTATGTTGGAGGGGTGAGTATACCCCCTCATTATTTATATATATATTCAATATAGCGCTCCACTTGCTGGTATATTGTTTATACCTTTTTTTCTTGTAATTATATGTATTTATCTATATATTTTTGTATTATATATATATATATATATATATATATATATATATATATATATATATATATATATATATATAATGTCATTCTAAGTGTATTTTGTTTTATATATATATATATATATATATATATATATAACAAAATACACTTAGAATGAAATTACATATGAATATATAATTTATATAAAATTTTGTTTCAATATTTTAATTTAATTTATTATTTTATTTATTTATTGTAATTATACGTATATATAATAATGTGTATATATCTATATTATATATATGTAACGTCATTCTAAGTGTATTTTAATACGAATATATGTACTCATATTAGTATTAAAATACACTTTGTATATATATATACACACACACACACATATACACACATTTCTATTTTAATTTTAAAACATGTTTAATAATTTTTTTTTAATACTTCCCACCAGCAGGGGGACTGTCTGACATTTCAGACAGTCCCCCTGCTGGCAGATCCACAGCCAGCTATAGGGGGCCATGTGTTCGCTCTTTGAGAGTGATCACATGGCCCTCTGGGGCTTATTTTGCCGTGGGAGGGCTGCCTGGGCTGTCAGGCAGTCCTCCCGAAGCGGAGCGCCGCTAAGGTGAGTATACCGGGCGCTCCAGCCGTTACGGCGTTCTATGCCGC